GAAGCTGAGTCTGCTCCCGAGACAACCACGTTTGTAATATTAAACAAAGTCTACCCAGCTGAGTATTCTGTAGTTCGTTGTTTGAAAATGAGTTTGTTTTCCAATGTCATATTTAAAGGGTGGTGGTTCATGTAAATAAACAATGTATTTTACACGCGTTGTGTACGTCACTGTGAGTCCCATATACTGAGTAACTCCCATTCATTATTACAATCAACGTAACACAATTTCAAGTTGGTATGGACACGAATCCTGAAACATTGGAGTTCTCGCGCTCGTGATATAATCTTGGAACTAAGCGTACTCGTAATGAAGGCATATTATTCTAATCACTGATTGAAGGGCATTTTCATGTATTTTAAAATGACTTCTAAATTCAAGATTTTGTTGGATACAATTTCTCATGAACTGTTTAAAATTAAAACCATTATGTTGCCTACAGTGGGGGAGGGGGTTGCAGATCACACATTTTGGGAATTCAGCTTTGAAGCTCTGGGCCAGTGTGTCGTACACGGGGGGGGGGGTCTGAATAAAATATGGTACGTAAGCTGAAGTAAAAACACGCGTAAAAGGGGTGTTATTTAGTTATTTGACGCGTATAAACGTGTACCTTGCTAGGGTAATAAAGTGGGAAAAAGGGAATCTCATGAATTCATGTTACCTCAACTTTAGAAACAGTATGATTTTAGAATGTATATAGGCACAGTCCCTCAACACTGTTGAGGGACTGTGATATAGGGTATCTATTTTAAGTTTCCGCACTTGAAAGGTGTATAATTTCACAAAGATGTTGTCGGTAGATAAGACTGGCTGTGTTGTTCACCACTTCCGTACTTCGCGGCGTTTGCTGATAACATTGTGAATCAGAGTATCACATAGCTTGGCGTGAGGAAACAATACGTCACTGGTGTCAACAAACACTGGAATTAACCGGATTTCACTTTGCAAGCTAATATTAGAACACAATTCTTACGGATTCTTCAAATGTCTTGAAATTATTTTTATATTTCACCTTTTATGTGTAACGTGTTGTTGTCTTTTTCCCCAGAGATGTTAAAATTGTTTAAAATGCGAGAAATTTCAAAATTGCGTTTCACTGCCACGATATCTGCTGATTTCATTACGGAGGCTTGACTTTCTGAGTATGACGTCTTTTCATATAGGTCTTACATTTTTAAATATTCGTGAAAAGTTTATAATTTCATTTGATGGAACCTGTCAGGATCCTGATGCATGCAATAACCGGAATACACTGAACAAATCTGTGAAGGATATGCAGAGATATAGTATAGTAATGTACCACTGCTGTTTTGAATTGGCCAATGGGCGTTCGAGAATTTACGGGGTTGCATGACGTAACCAATTAGTCACATTCTCGGGCGGAGCTACGTCACTGAAAGTTGTATGATGTATTTCAAGTTCTATGGGCTATGCAAGGTGGCAGGGAACGCGGGTGAAAACAGCACGACCTTCTGAGACAATTCTGAACAGTAATCCTGCACATGTTACTAGACCAAAATGTAGTTTTTTGATAGTTTTCGACCGTTGTTTTCATTGTTCTGGTTGTCAGGCGGTGAAAATGCCCGGATGTTTGCTCCCGAGAATATGAGATTACCGATCCAGACTATGCAACAGATTTATTACAAGTTAATACGCAACAACCACAGCCGTAGTACAAACTATATGAATCGTGGTCACGTGATGTTACAGTAACCATCATGTGCCCACGATTTAACTTGTTCAAACCGCGATTGATAACATTAATTTCTGGTTCCAGTGATAAAATGATCAATCTTATTTTTTGACACGTAATGAGTACATGACAATGTTACCTCGCTATTTCAACTGCACGATCAGATCTGATGGCGATATAGGTTTTACACGGTCAAATTAATTGGATCAGGTTAATATAATGAAATTTTGCACATGTCCGATATTCAGAAAAGTCAGATATTCCACGGTTTAGCAGATTTATTGCATGCTGAAGTGACTTTTTAAAAAAAAATAGCAAAAACAAGAATATGCGGTTTATAAATATGATTTAATGTTCCTTTGCAGTTATCAGCTAATGACAGAAACACATACACATGTTGTTGTACATTGTATAAGACATGAGTCATTTAGACTAATCGACTACCAGTGCATCTTGCAAACAGTTGAACAATTGAAAATATATTTTATTTCAAATAAAAAATGCTTTCTTGAAGTTGCCTACCTACTAGATTACCTACTCGAATTGAAACGGTGTTTATTTACAGGTTTATTTTCTATCATTTATAGAACATTTTAAATTTAACTTCCTGTGCCACCAGACATTACATAGGTTGTGTTTTACTCTTTGTATGAAAACAAATAAAATATAGATTTCTAAATATAATGTGGCCCCAAAAATTGCGTATCCGTGGGATGACATCAAATGAGTGTTTCATGTTTGGCACCTGCATTTATCTCCCGATCTACACTTTTGTTAAGTAACACTTTTTACAAAAACAGTATTTTAATATGTTGTTGGTACCATAGATTAGGAAGACC